ATTCCTGCCGTTTGGACGCGGATCACGCGGCGACGCCTGCCGACGGCGAGCCTCGTGGGCTGGTCAATGATTCGTGTCTCTACGGGACTCGAGCATCGACACGCGCAGAGCATGCCGTCGATCATGCCCACCGCCGCGCGTCGTCCGCGCGGTCTCCGCGGCGGCGGTCTCAAACTGCCCGCGCGCGAAGCGCGGGAAAATTTGAGCTTCCCTTGGGTCTTTTCCGTCAAAATTGCGCTGGAAACGACCTGTGCGCCTGCTCCACGGAAGTACGAACGATCGCCTTCGCCCCGCCACGGCGCACACAGCGCGAGGGAAATTTGGAGCTCGGAGGCGTAAGCTAGCTTCAATACCCGTGTCGTTGTCTCCAGCCCCGCCCCCCCGGCGCCTGCGGCGCTCTCTCGGCGCCTCCGGCGCCGCCTCCCGGCGCCTTCGGCGCCGCCCCTCGGCGCCTTCGGCGCCGATTTTTTTCTTCTCTTTTCTTTCTTGAAGTGTGGAAACACCAAATCGCCGCCCAATTCCCCTCCTTGTTATAGAGAGATAGAGAGGTTTGTACCTTCCTAGCGGCTCGCTGGTACAGAGCCACCCAGGATTCTTCCCCTCTCCTTGGTACTTTCTACCCCTGCTATAGTTGCGCCCCGCACTGTAATAGACGGGGAGTCTTCCTGGACCTAGTGAGGCAAGTCCTCTGCCCGTTCGCCTAATAGCCCGGCCCCCGTATACTACGGTAGCTGAAGCAGTTTCTGCGGTCGATCAAAAGTTAGATAGGGCGGCTTCAAATCTTGAAGAGAGAGCAGATAGGGCCGTCACAGACATACCCTGCCAATGTTACTTGCCGGAACCGCCCAATACCCTCAGTCGTACTGTCTGTTTGGACGTGGCGCTTCTAGTGCAGCTACAATGTGCGGCGCATCTTCAACGCGCGATTTCCCAGCCGGACTATAGCAGGCACCCTCATCAAGTTAGCCAACTTGTGGTCCACGAAGCACTCAGCACATCGATGTGGAAGACCGAGAATTTTTCTTTTGCCCGTGGACTAGATCGCGGGGGCATTTGTCGAGGCAATTGTCAGGGGTTCGAGGGGGGCTATTTGCGCGAAGTTGCCAGCGAGATTAAATCAT